ACATGTACTATGAATTTTGGTCAACTTCAACACCTTACAACTGTTCCAAAGATAAAATGAATTTATGGATGATGCTACAATATCTTGTCTTGTACCTTTGGGCACTACTAGCAATATTTGACGAAAATCACCACCTAACACAATAGTTTTACCACCGAAAGTTCTTTTTACACTGCAGAGGTTTACAAAGCGCAACAAATCTTTGCATGGTTCTATCTAGCGCTTCAAAGCAAAGTTTGTGAATATTATAGACTTTCCCTTCCTTCAAGTGTTTGTTGAGTTTTTCGACAAATTCTTTGGGAATTTGTAAATGGATGCAAATTCCCTGAGAAAATCACCTGTAAATTTTGTAAATGGTAGGATTTTTCTTTTTTAATGGTAACCTTATTATTATTATTATTATTATTATTATTGTTGTTGTTGTTGTTGTTGTTGTTGTTGTTGTTGTTTTGTTTTTTTACTCATTAATTAGTATATGTCCGCAGTCCGATTATGAAGGAAGTCTAAAAACGCCCACCATGGGGCTCAAACCAACGAACACAATGAGCTAGACGGTCTTGTTTTTACTCATTAATTAGTATATGTCCGCAGTCCGATTATGAAGGAAGTCTAAAAACGCCCACCATGGGGCTCAAACCAACGAACACAATGAGCTAGACGGTCTTGTCTTGTTTGACATTATTATTTTGCCGACGTTAGGGTGAGGAAAAAGATAATCCTTGATGGATAGGGGAATTGAACCCGACGTGAATCAAACACGCAACCTTCTAATCTAGAGTCAGACGCGCTACCATTGCACCACAGATCCACTATTTAATAATTTGAATCTTATATCCTTTTATACCTTGTTGTTTTTATATTTAGAATTAATCCCATTTTAGTTAGTTCCATAATTACAATGACATATTCATTTTAAATAATTAAAAAACAAATTAAATATGATCAAATTAATAATTGATAACTAAATGTAAAAAATACTATGGTAATCAATCATATGATTAAAAGTAAAATTCAATTTTTAAGTTAGACTTCGTCTTGATCTAAAACAAATAGAAAACTTCTTCTATGAAAGAGCAAGTAGTTTCATCTTTGAAATTTGAGATGAAGCAACAAGCTTCATCTCTTATCTTTGTTGCTTCATTTGAGATACTTAGCTTTGTCCCAAAGTGCATTTGAAGATGAAGGCCCTCTTAAACTAAAGCTCTTTGAGCATTGGAATATGCAAAGTTTTATTGTCCGTGGATTTTAGTGTTACGTTGGATTCCTCTGAGGCATTTGGAATTTGGAAAGTGCCACGGTTAAGAAATTTTTATGCGGACATAATTCCTTTTACATTAGAGGCTTCGAAGGTTGTTCGTAGAAACATAGACACTATAACTTGGTTGCGTCCGAAGTGTTGTACAGAGGATCTTTTTACAAGGATTCCGAATTTTTAAAAAATTAGGAATTCAAAGATAAATGCATTTTGAATATGAAAATTCATATGGTTTTCTATAATTTTGTGCACTTGGGGCAGCTTGAGAAACTAAGCATCAAATGGTGTGATCTCAAACTGCCCTATAGTGACATTTCATGGGCAACTAGTTTTCTACCAAATCTAAAGAAGCTCAAATTCATCATGACTTGATCGTCATGGAGTGATATGAGGATTATTGATATGTTGCCGAATCTAAAGAAGCTCAAACGGCGTGTGACTGTTTCACATTTCATGCAACTTAAATTCTTCACAGCAAAACCAATGTGTAGTAAGGTGGTGTGTCCCCAATGAAGGTGGTATGTCCCAGGGGACCTTTATCACGGCTGTGAGTATACCTTGGATAGGAGTCTACTCTTCCAAAGTGGCGGAGGCAGTGGCCATTTGGGAGGTGCTCAGTTGGCTGAAGACGAGGTATCAAGGAAAGCTTCAAGTGGAAACAGATGCATTGTCGGTGGTTCGAGGCCTATCAAATGACAATGACGAGTCCTCATTTTATCTTGTCTTAGCTGACATAAAATCACTGTTAAATTGTTTTTCACACACTTTCGCGTCTTTTGTTAAGCGATCAACGAATCGTATTGTACATGTGTTGGCTCAGAGTCAATTTTTCAGTCTGATCGTAGAGAATGGTTTTTGTAGTTGTTGTGGGTTTGTTGGTGTAATGAATTTGGGTGAATACATAGTGTGTTGCATCATAAAGTATATATTATGGTTTGTGGTTGAATATAATTGTGGTATAAATTTGGTGTTATTTCTTCATCTCATCTCAACTCATTTTTCCATCTAAAAGCAGAGAGTGGACGGCGTGGATTAATTAGTAGATAGGAGTTTTCTATCTTTAAGTACTCCACTTTCGCTGCATGCCTTAATCACATGACAAGCTGAGAGTTGGAATTGAATTATATTAATTAGCCACTATTTTTTTTTTTTTGGTGGAAACCACACATTGTGGTCCGGGTCTTTCCCTGTCCGTTTAACGGTCCAGGTCCACCCGATTTGCTCCAAGAGGCACAGAAGCTGGCCCAAAGGGAATCGTCACTTGTGAGAATCGAATTCGGGTTATCTTGAAATTCTCTCCCACAAAGAGAGCTCATTTATTAATTAGCCACTATGCTCTGCTGCCAGAAGGGAATTGCCCCAACCATGTTTTTGTTTTTTGTTTTTTTTTGTTTTTTTTTTTTTTTGTTTTTGTTTTTTTGTTTTTGTTTTTTTTTTTTGGTAATCAATGTCAATTATGTACTGTGCATATGGTGGGCATAATATAATAAGAGTTAATACCCAGTCCTCGACTATAGTGGTTTTTCTCAATTTCGTCCTAAACGACTTTTGTGACCTAATATTGTCCCAGACTTTTGTGTTTTGCTCAATTTAGTCCTCCATTTGTTATTCCGTCAAATTGGTGTTAAATAAAGGGACAATTCAGTAATGTCAATATTAATCTCTCTTTACTTTCAACCTGTGAAGTGCGAAATTCCTCTTTCTTGTACAAATTACACTCAGAATTACTCCCGGACTTGCAAATCAAATTTTATATTCGCAGTTTTAGGAGTAATTCTGGGAGTAATTCGCAAAAAAAAAAAAAGGATTTCACAATCCACATGTCTATGAGTAAAGAGATGCCAATATTGAATTTACTGAATTGTTTATTTATTTAACACCAAATGGATAGCATAACAAATGTGGGACTAAATTGAGCAAAAACACAAAAGTCTAGGACTAAATTGAGTAAAAACACAAAACTCTGGGACTACATTAAGTCACCAAAGTTATTTAAGACAAAATTGAGAAAAACTACTATAGTCGAGAACGATTTTGGGTATTAACTCAATATAATAATGAGCTATTTAAATTGATCCCTCTTCTTATATTATTAAATTGCACCTACCTGAATTCTCAACATGGGAATTTCATATCAACTCTTATCTTCTTATTAATTTATTCCAACAGATCTGTTTGCCGTCAGAACAATAGCAGCAACAAGCTAAGGACTACTGTTTTCTTCAAGCTAAGGACTCAATTACCGCCATGTGGAGATAAGCTTAGCTATCTGCTTGTGCTGATAGGCTGAAGAGAGACTACTGGGATTTCTTAATGCTGCTTTAGGTAATCTTCTTCCAGTTCTTATTTATATCAAAGAATCATACTCTTATGGCGATTGAAACAATTTATCAAACACATAACCCACAAAGTTGATCTTCTTTCAATCCTGTTTTTTCAAAGTCAGATTGAAATTGTGAGTATGTAGTATGTCTAATTGTGTGTCCTATTCTTATAGCTACACACAGTTCCAAAGATTCTCAAGCATAATTCAATCCTAAATGATACAAGAGATCAAATTATAACATACTCACAACAACAACCTTAGCTAATTCAATACATACTCTTTTTATGCAATTGAAATCATAGAAGCATCTATAATAAGAGCAAGCTTAATCCAAATCTTTGAAAAAATATTAATGAAATAAAAAATGACTGATTTCTAAGGTTGAATTAAACACTAACAAATGTAAATATTTTTTTAAAAATTAATTATTTTTAAAAATTAATTATTTTTTAAAAATTATTTTCCTATTTTGAAGCTCACCATTATTCACGTGTATTCATGAATTGAACATAATCTACAATCCCTACTTAATTTTTCTTAAAGCGAATTTTTGAAACATTAACCTGATTAACTGTTCCTATTTTGGATCTAGTGGAACTCCCTTCGATAAACACAAAACAGAGAGAGAGAAAAGACAAATTTGAGCTGTAAGATTCCCACTTAATTTTAAACAATTTCGTCTCATGTTGTCATTATCTTTCTCTAATATTTAATTGCATATTACTCGCAATTAGTGTTACAAGTTACAGAAAACCACATAAATTTTAATATGAAGTACTAAAAGTCAATATAATGCTGTCATTTTTTCAATTACAAATATAATGCTTCGGTCTTGCCATTATTTCACTTAGAGCCATTATATAATTGAATTGTCAGTTGAAAGCCTTTTGGATTGGTGCTTTGAAGTATACCACTATTTTAATTTCAATTTCTATTTATAACCAAACACAAAGACTCATTCTACTTAAACTAACTCATTATCATTACTAAATATTTGATTCTTATTAACATTTTGATTCTAATGTTTGAACCAATTCCAAATGCACTCTCAGTGTTGTGCTTAACATTGTTAGAAGCTTCACTCTATGAGTGACTAAAAACCCCACTTTAGTCAAAATTTAGAGGTCAAAGATGGACATACGTATAATTTAGGGACGTCGGACGGACTCTATCCTTAGGGTATAACATAACTCTGCTCTACAATAAAAAATGTAATTATATTTCTCCTAGGTACATATAATTATATTTAAATATTATATATAACCAGTTAACCACCAAATTAACTAATTATCTGAGAATAAGCCTAGAAAAAAACAAACTGCTAACCCACTACGGCTAAAATAATTTTAAAATCATGGTTGTTTAGACTCTCTAAATTGCATTACATCTTTCATTTCTTCTTTGTTCTGCTCTGATCAGCTACCGCATAGACGACAGACGCAAATGGCTTATGCTGCTGTAACTTCTCTTAAAGGAACACTCCATCTACACTTCTTGCAATCACAACCACGATTGCCTCTTCAAGACAACCAAGAAATACTTAATTCTCTCCATAAAAATCTTGGTGTCCTCCAAGAAGTTCTTGAGAAATCTGAGATCGCCTATAATAATTCGGCGATGAAAGATTTAGAGGCAGAGATGAGAGATGTAGTGTCCGAAGCTGAAGAAAGGATTGAGATGGAATTGACTAGCATATATCTTCAATCAAGCAGTATAGAGAAGGATGGCCTCCTCAGGCTTCACGAAATCTTCGAGCAAGCAGTAAAACAGACTGATGACCTCAAGATGGAGTTGATTAAGATTAAAAGTGAAAAGCAGCTTGCAAAGGGTCCATCAATCACTGGTGTTTCACTCATTGGTTCAACATCATCGCCGCCTGCTGATCAAGAACGCGAGAATAATATTATTGTGAGTAAATTTTCCAAAAGCGCTTCAAAGTTTGACAGTAGAATGGTTGGATGCGACGAGGAGTTTAAGACGATAATGAATCTGCTCACTCGACAATCAACGAAGAAGCTACAAGTTGTATCAATTGTTGGCATGGGAGGAATAGGCAAGACCACTTTAGCTCGGAAAGTCTATGAAGATCCATCAATTACTTATCACTTTTACATGCGAGCATGGGTTACAGTATCTCAAGAATATAAGCGGCGACAAATGCTCCAATGCCTTGTTGGTTGTGTTAGTGCATCAAGTGATGAACAAAGAAACAATGACGACGAAGGCCAATTAGCAGACCGTCTACGTAAACACTTGAAGGGTCAAAGATATTTGATAGTGATGGATGATATATGGAGCACTACTGCTTGGGATAGTGTGCAAGGATGCTTTCCAGATGATAATAATGGAAGTTGTATACTATTGACTTCTCGGCTCAGGGAGGTGGTTGCTGGTAAATGTGCTCCTAGTTCAAGTAACTCTATCATTAACATGCCTTAGCTTTCTTAGATGCCAATGAAAGTTGGAATCTCTACTGCAATGTGTTTGGTAAAACAGAATTTCTTTTGGTGTTTGAGCAAATTGGTAGAGCCATAGTGAAGAAATGTAAAGGATTACCTCTAGCTATTACTTTAGTAGCTAGTCTTCTCTCCAAGACAGAGGAGAAGGTGGAAAAGTGGAAGAATGTTGAAGAAAGTGTAATTGGTGATTCTAATGAAGCATATTCAAGTGTACTATCTTTGAGTTACAACCAATTACCACACCCCTCTAAAGCTTGCTTTCTATATTTTGGAGTTTTTCCAGAAGATTATGAAATCTCTGCAAAGAAGTTAGTTAGGTTGTGGGCAGCAGAGGGATTTTTCGAGGCAATGAACAATAAGAATCTGGAGAAAGTGGCCATGGAATGCTTGCAAGATCTTGTTGATAGAAGTCTTGTTCTTGTTGGCAAACAGAGCTACAATGGCAAAATCAAGACAATTAGGATGCATGATCTCTTGCGAGACTTGTGCTTAAGAGAAGCTCGATGTGAAAATCTCTTGTATGTCATTGGAAATGATTATCATGGTGCTGTTGCTAGACCAGTAAAACTTCCATTTAACAAGAGGAAATCACATCACTTGTTTTCAGAAACTTGTCCTTGGATAAGTATTAAACCTGGATGTTACAATATTCAAATTACATCTAAGTGCTTTGAGAAATTCCATTCCTTACACTCTGTTGATTATATTGATTTAAGCATTAAGGTGCTTTGTCAATTCAAACTATTAAGAGTAGTAGACATCAAACTTGGATTCTGGAACTTTGAAGGTAAGATGCTATATATGGCAAATCTTGTTCACTTGAGATACTTAGCTTTGTCCTTAAGTGAAAAAGTAGGCCCTCTTAATCTAAGGCTCTTTGAGCATTGGAATATGCAAAGTTTTATTGTCCGTGGATGTAGTGTTATATTGGATTCCTCTAATGCATCTGCAATTTGGAAAATGCCACTGTTAAGGAAAATTTATGTTGACGGAATTCATTTTACGTTAGAGGCTTCAGAGGTTGTTCATAGAAACATAGAGACTATATCTTGGTTGCGTCCGAAGTGTTGTACAAAGGATCTTTTTACAACGATTCCGAATTTAAAAAAATTGGGAATTCAAGGTGAAATTATATTTGTTAAAAATGAAAATTCAGATGGTTTCTATAATTTTGTGCACTTGGGGCAGCTTGAGAAACTAAGCATCAAAAGGTGGAATCTCAAACTTCAGTATAGCGGCATCCCATGGGCAACTAGTTTTCTACCAAATCTTAAGAAGCTCAAATTCTTTGAGACTAGGTTTCCATGGAGTGATATGAGGCTTATTGGTATGTTGCAGAATCTAGAAGTTCTAAAATTGATACGTGCTTGTAAAGGCAGAGTGTGGGAGACATCTGAGGGAGGGTTCCGTCATTTGAAAAGGTTGGTAATTGAAAGCTGGAATTTGGAAGATTGGAATGTTGAGGATGATCATTTCCCTGTGCTTCAACATTTAGAGTTAACTGGTTGCAGTTCGTTGCAAGAGATCCCTATTGTGCTTGCCAATATCACCACATTTGCATTAATTCATTTAAATAAATGTCAGCATTCTGTTTTGGCTTCCGCAGAGCGTATTCAAGATGAGAAGCAAAGCTATGGAAATGAAGCCTTCGTTGTTCGTTTCAAAAATATTTTGGTCTCTTTCTATCCCTTCATTGTATCTCTGATCGTTTTACATTTCATGCTATTTAAATTCTTTGCTCAAGATAGCAATTCCTTTGCAATCAATAATTATCTGTATCTCATATTTCCTTACCTATATAAATGCGTGCTCACCTGCTTTCTTTTAATAACTAAATTTATTGTTTCCAGCATTGATAAAAGTAAACATCTCAAAGGAAGGATTGGATGAATAAGCTAGGGCAGCCTGGGCAGGTATGTTGCATTTGCAAACAACTGTTTATTTTGTTTTGTCCTTTTTCTTTTCCTTTAAAGGAAAATCATGCTTATTAGCTTGCTTTCATTTTTTATTTGGCGGTTTCAGTTTTTTTTCTTTTAAAGTTTAATCCTTTTTTATTTGTAAAATAATTATCTAATTGTTATTGAAATTTAAATTTCATTCATAATTATTGGTCCTAGTCTGTCATGCTTACTATTAATTGATAAATTGATAAATTACTTATTTTCTTTAGTTTTTTTTAATTATTTTAAATTTGCCATGCCTTTATTGCTTTCTGCCTTCAGGTGATGAGGAGTAAGACAATTATATTCATTGTTTTGGAATTCGTTACGGGTGGAGAGCTGCTCAACAAAATTTTATGCCATTCTTCCCTTTTTGTGTGGTTCTTGCGGTTCAAAAAGTGAAAACCAAGCACAGTTTGCTCATTTCTCATGGTTTATTATTATTAAATAAGTCTGTTGTATTTGAACACACCAGTTTTTTTGTTTTGTTCTTATCAAAGAAATATCACGCTTAGCTTGCTTTCATTTTTTTGGCGATTTCAGTATTGTTTATATCCCATCCCATCCCCAAGCAATTTATATCGTGGACCAGGATCTGTTAGACAAATTAGATATGTGGAGTGGCTGATAATAAGGGAGTGAGGAAACGAGATCTTTAGGCGTGTAAGAACTTTCTATAAGTTTTAATTCTCCCTCATATAAAACAACAAGGTTCAAGATTTAATTTTATGGGATACAAAGAAGATGAATGAAATTGTTAAGTTGTTTTGTTTAAAAACTTCCTCTAGAAATGTAGAACTGCAAAATATCTCCAAATGTGTTACTTTCAGATGTTTCTCCAAATACTTATAGATGCAAAATATAACTATTTGGAGAAGTTACATGGAAGTTACTGCAGTTTAAAAACTTAGGATATGTCTTAAATGATATATAGACAGGAGAAATATAATTACATAAACCATATATTTGTAGTTTATGTACTGCCTACAATTTTATGGAGTAATAATATATATATATATATATATATATATATATATATATATATATATATATATATATATATATATATATATATATATATATAGACTTGAGTTCAAATGAGGACGGGTGTATTATAGAGGGCTGTGAGGACTAATATGACGTGTGCTATTAGTTTGTATGTCGTGTGCATGGCCGAATGTAGTCGTGTGCATAGATTTGTTAATTAATAGAGCCTGAGTTCGAAACCTGATATTTACATGTATTCTTGTGTGCCATTGTGTATTAAGTTGTGTGCTCCAATATTGGTCCCCACAGTCATATATATATATATATATATATATATATATATATATATATATAGACACACACACAGTATTATTATTATTATTATTTTAACAAATATGACGACGGTTTTAGTATAAAATTGACCGTCGTATTATTATTTTTAAAAAACTTGAATAAAAAATTTATTATTTATAAAATGTCGGTTTTTCGTATCTTTTTTAAATTTTAAAAAACGTTTTGTAATTATTAATGATGTCAATTTTTTTAATAAAATCAACTTTAAAACATTGAGTTAATAATATCTGAGGTTATTCGAGTATAGTGGTTTTGTCACGTTTAGTCTTAAACTTTCAAATTGACCATCTGTGGTCCTTCCACTCCTTCGACTTTCAAATTTAACCATTCATGGTCCAAGTTAACCATCCATGGTCCTTCAAGTTTCTAAATTTAATCAGTCGTGATCCTCTTGAAAGGATCATGGTTGGTTAAAATTTAATAGTTGAAGGACCACATGTGGTTAACTTGGATCACAGAATGGTTAAATTTGAAAGTCGAAGGATCACATATTGTCAATTTGAAAGTTTAGGACTAATTAAACGTGGCAAAATTATTATGCTCGGAGGAACTCACATGGTATTAACTCTTAAAACATTTTTTTATTTAATGTTTTAATGGCGGTTTCTTAGTTGGTGTGTCTTTTTTTCTTTGGCTTCAATATTGATCATAGTTGGTGAAAGATTGATTTGGTGCGTCTTTTTTTTTTTTTTTTTTTTTTTTTTTTTTTTTAAAGAAAAGGGGAATCTCTTATTCATTCATCTGTGTTTCATCATACAACCACAATACCTCTATACCTCTATATATAGTGTACAAACATAACGGAAGATATAATGGAGACATAAATACAGGAACCGTTACAACCGTTACAACCGTTATATAATCTATAATAATGTCCACATAATGATATATTTATAACACTCCCCTTGGACATTATTTGTCCACGACCTTGCCTCGTTAAAAACTTGCTATGAAAACCCTATGGGAAAAACCTAGACAAGAAAAGAGTACAATAGAAAATACATTCATGCCTCATTAAAAACTTCACTAGGAAAACCACATGGGAAAAACCTAGTTGAAGAAAAGAGTACATGATATAAAAACATATATTGGTTGCCTCATTAAAAACCTTAACTTAAAAAAACCCTGTGGGAAAAACTTAGTTAAGGGAAAAAGAGTACAACCATAAGCCTTCAGGGCATAATCTGCATAATCTTCAGGATTTTGGAGTTTGTCCATTTAAGCAATTATTTTTCAACTTTTTCCCATTGTCATATTATATCATACTCATGCCTCGTTAAAAATCTCATTATTAAAACCCAGTGGGAAAAAATTAGTTGAGGAAAAGAGTGCATGATGTATGTGTTGTTAGTCATCAATCTTTAGGATTGATTCATGTAAAATTATACTCCCCCTCAAGATAACAATTTTGATGTCCTAAATATACATTAAATTTTCAAAATGTATAGAGGAATTTTGTAAATAAATATGTACAATTGACAATGGAACGAATATACTTTATATAATCTCGTGACTCTTCTGGAGCTCACGTGGGTATAAGATTGACATCATAATATCTTAGTCAAAAGATTTCATATTATTTTATCATATGAGTGACACAATCTTTATTATCCCTTTTTTAGGACAATGGGGGCAAATATAGTACAACCAGTTTTGGGACTTGGTATTATGGGGATACAAAAACACTACCCAAGTGGCCCATTATATATTTATTTGTATAAATATCTAGTCAAAATCAAGTATTGGCTAACCGGTGTATAAAAAATTCTTCAAGGAAAAACTCGATCTTCAAGTCGAGATAAAATCTCAGTCTTTAAACATGAACTGATATCTTCAAGCTCTTTATATATTTCATTGATGTTTACACCATAAATATTGACTGAGATAATAAATAAGTCAATTATCAACTCTTTATTGAACACATAATGGTACATATTATTCCTTCTATATGAGGATAATAACCCCATTCGCAACTCTTTAAAAAGTAAATAATGGCACTTAAATAAATCCTCATTTCGGGAATTATAAATCCATTAGGGATTTTTCAAGCTAAACTAGAGGATATATTTAGGATATTTTCAAGAGGAAACGATATTTGAGTTTCCCAATCACATATAACATTGCTAGGTATGTTTATGATAATATATTTTCATACTTTGTTCTGGGGGAGAAAATACCTTTAGTCAATTTATTGACTATAAGAAAGATCATAGTTAGTAACTTACTAACTTTTATACTTCTTATTTTGTGATTTTCATTCATCACATTTTTAGAAAATCCATCAAAGATTTTAAATATAAGTAACAAGTTACCCATATAAATATGTGATAACCATAACTATTAGCTACATATCTAATTTATTTACTACTAGTTTTATTGAATAGCGGAATATAAAGCCATGACTAATATTGGGTCTCTGTGAAAACCCCCGAACTCGCCTTTTATTAGCGAGTTTTGATTTGTATGCTTTAATTGATGTTTTCTATCAAAACAGTTAGCACGCTGCAGGCGTTATACTACTGTTTTCATTTCTGGATCCAAATTTAAGTATTTATGAGCAATAGAGGCAATATATATTGTCGACAACTGTAACAGCTTTGTAAATATCTTTTATACACATGAAAATTTTGTATCAACCAAATATATGGCATTTCCCAAGAGTATTTGGATTTGGTTGTTCCGCTTCTCCAGTATTTTAGTTATTTGGTGCACCTACAATTTTACTGGGGGTTTTCGCCTTCTAGACGAATATCTTCAGGATAAAATTTCTATATTTCTGGAGTGACGAAATTTCTATACTAGATCTAGTTTTGTAAATTCTTAAACCAATATATGCTTCTGGCATAATGGTAGAGATGTTTAGTCCTAGTTGGGAATTTCACTCTTAAAATATTTTCTATGGACTTAGTCACTCATTGAGATTTCTAGCAGATAATTTGTTCAATGTCTGAACTTCTGGTTCTATAAGGCTAGTACATGAGTTTGAAGATTTTTATCAATTTCTCGGCATTTAATTAATTAGAAATTTCAAATCTCCCCCTAATGCCGAGAAAAGATCTTATAATGCCACCAACATCACTGTTGATTTCTCATGATGAGATATAGCTAGAAGGGTTGCATACTAAAAAAAATGAATGCAGGTAGGGAAAAGCATCATGTACTAGCGTATGTGATATGTAGTGGATCAACATATTGGTTTTTCAATTTTGAAGGTCCCCAACAAAATATTTCCTCCAAAATTGCTTAATTTGCTTTCCGAACAAAGTTGTATTAAGATTTAGAACTTTGGTTAAAAAAATTGATATTGTCTATCTTAAATAATTGTTTCATGACAATTAGAGAAACAAGTAGAGTAATATTGCCTTCTCACAGATTTCAAAATTGACATGAATAGACAATATAAAAAAAATGTCGTTATGGGCAATAATATGACCATCATAGTTGACAATGAGATCTGCATACACCAAATATCCTTCAGGGATTTACTTAGGGTCTATAGATCGATCCTTTTAGATCAAATATTCATAACTGATGGTTTAGACCAAAAGGTGTCAAAAAAAATTAGTGATGCAAGT